GGGGGGGGGGGGGTTCTTTGCACTTTGGTGTCAGAGGAAAGCTCAACCACCCTCTGTAAATGTTACAGCCATTGGCTTTTTGGATTAAGTCCTCAGCTCGTGCTAAATAATCACCACATCCCTGAAGCCGCCTCATTTGTATCCCGGAAACCGCCATCATTGTATGTGCGTGACCCAAGGGGACTTGATTAATATCCGTCATTCTCGGGCAAACCTGACCCCAGGGCTCCCGACGAGCACCGAACTCAGGTTCAAGCTCAGGTACAGCGTGAACCTCGTTTGTTACCTCTGCGGGGGGGAGAGAAGACTGGCATTGACTGATGACACCTGAATGAGGAAACTGCTCGTTGGCGGGGAGGGGAGGTGTTGATGGAAAGTTCACTTCAGCAGCGCACTGTGATAAACACAGAGAGGACTCTGGGTGTCCCGGCTGTAACAACAAACAGCTGGACTACCCCCCCACAGGCCAGAAGAACAGCTCTAGACTTCTGCTAATTGGACAGAATACAGGATCCTATTAATTAGAAATGCCCTGACATAGCACAATAGAATTTTACTCGTGTGTGTGTGTGTGTGTGCTTCTTGTGGGGTAAAGATTAGGCTGCGCTTCAATCACTATTATACTAATCTAAGAATGATACCATGTCTTTTTCCTTCGCTGTGAAGGATAATGTATCATATAGTCACATGCATTACAGATAAAGTATTCCATTCAGAATCTGTCATTTTGAAAGTCGAAGATGTTTCCTAGTCTCATATGAATGGCTACAGATAAACCAAGAGACGCATTTGATACAGGACTCTGATCAAAGAGAGGGGAAGGCCGTACAGACCGTTCAGGAAGTGTTAAATTGATTTATCTGTCTGCTCCACTACTTCCTCGTGAACAATGAAGTATGAATACCACTAAATTCTCCATCGATTGTCCGCCTGATTTATGACCTCAGAAAATGTTTTGTTTATTTCTGTGTCATTTATATTCTCAATGAGACAAAAGGGAAGTAGAACAAAATGCACAATGTTCTTACAGTTATAATGCTTAGAGCAGGATGGAAGAACTCTAAATGAACTGACAGAGACTCGGGCCTCAGATATCCACCTTTATAAAGTTTTTGTGACTTGTGTCAGCAAACAATAGATTATTTACTATTTCACCAGACATGGTTCAAAATCAGCATTCATTTTAAGATGTGTATCCTTCTGTCTACTGCACACGTAAGTGCAGCAGCCCATAGAGTGTTGCAGGGATATTTTTGTAGGCCAACCTGGAAGTTAGCATCGCATTGGCTCCCTCGACAAAAAGCCAATGGTATTTTTCCATTGGCTTTTGAACACTACTTTTAAGTCAGAAGTAAAAAGCTAACGTTAGGCCATGAACAAACTACACCACAGTCACATGACTATGCCACCACCACTAAGCTGAAGTCTTTGGCATGATGACGTTTAGTAGTCTCATTTAGCTACCTGCTAGCAGCCGCATTTTTTTAAGACATGTAAAAACTTAAAAATTCACCAGAGGGGTATTTACTGACGTATTTAATGTTGTTAACGTTAAAATCTCTTCAGCTTGTGTTAACTACAGACCTTATTTCACGCATCTAACCAAAAACAAAAAAAAACATTGACTTGAAACGACGGAACTAGAAGTGCATAAATGCTGACTCATTTCTGGGGTTTTGGACTCATTCCTGCACTGCTCTATTCACTCTCTGTTTGGCTTTGTGTTTGTCACCACTAACTGCTGAGAAAATTAGTTATTTTGCAGCGAAAAAATCTGCTCTTCATTGAGATTCATGAGAACGCTGTGACTGCTTCCTATTGTAAAATTGCCGTAAAACCCAAACAATGAGCTAAGAGAGGCTAAAAAGCTTATTGCTAAATTTGCATTAATTTTTTATGTTTCTGTCCACCTTGCAAATTCATGTGCAATGTTCACCCTCCTTCTGCCTTTGTTTTGGTATTTGCCAACCCTTAGGGAACATATCCGTGGATGTATACAGACAACTGGATACAGCGTTGGAGGCAGGGCCCTGTTTATTCCCACCTAAGTTGCTCAGTGGCACGTGAATCAAAAAAAGTTTGACTATAATGTTACCTGGATCCTCCAGCGATCTTCTGCATCCATGGGCCCATAAAGTAAGTGCACTAGCGTTTCCTTTAACCCCGCCTCCAAGCCCTCGGTCTCCGGCTCATTCACATGAATGGAAGGACAACTTTGATTCACCTCCCAAAAGAATTTGCTGATTTTCAGACGTCTCTTTCCCAATGTAAGTCTATGGGAAAAAATCTTAGTGGGCCCAATGGCATCACGTGAGGGACCACAACGTTGTCCAATTTCCTTCAAAGCCTTTCAGTCTTCTTGGGGTTTTGGAAGTATCCTGCACCTAAATGCTACACTAGCTCGTGGCTCACTTTGTCCGTCTGCCGTTTGGCGCTGGGTAGGTAGTGTACAGTCAAAGCTTTTTCTCTGCAAAAAGCTGCCCGCTGCTACTGGGAACACGGTCAACGAAAGCAGTGGGACTGAACCAAACAATAAAGTAGGATGCCAAAAACAATTAGCAGAAAGAAGCTAAAACACTCCATAGAGCCGAGGGGAACTGCAAATCAGGCCATAATTCTGGGGGGTGGGTTCGTCACAGTGAGTGACTCCTTTCCCATTATATTGTAAACCTGTGGATTAGTACAGCTAATGGCTAAATCGTAACATGACCACCAGTGAAAAATGAACATAGATAAGTCATGACGTTGGCTAGATAAGTCCCAACAGGTCAACTCTATGTCAGCTTGCAGGGTTCAGGGCTGTAGATTGACCCATTTTCTACCAAATAAATGCAGATTTTTATGCATTTTGTAAAGAAAAGTCAATATTAACACTAGCATTGATGGGTACAGTACAGTCATATCATTTCTTTCACACCACTTAAGTAGTTTTCTTCCACAAAACGTGAGGAATTTGAATCGGAGTCAATTTATCCTCACTCACATTTACACTCATAACACACTTTGAAGTCTGCAGTGTATTTTACTCTCGCTCAGCAAAATATGTAAGTGAGTAGATATTTTACTTTTGGTAGGCCAAACAAGCCCTTGCTGCTTTTTGCATTTGGTACATTGGCGAGATCTGCAACGCCCGTCTGACGAAATACATACAAATTCTGTCTTCGTCTGCTGCGTCCCGCAGTCTGACCCCTATCCAGGACGTCTGCCTGGACTACTTTCAGGTGTCTGCGTTCATCCAGTTGGAATTCCCGTGCTCAGCACCATCACCAAGTACCCCGTCATCACTGTCAGAGGGTCTAAATCTCGGGCTCAGTCCAAAACAAATCAGAGCTAGTTTTCATGTGACAGTTTGGAGCTCATTCATTTGCGCTAGCTTTAAAGTTAATTTTTTTTGGAGTCTCTCAAAGTGTTTTCGTTTTTTTAAATTTATTTTACCACTTGCATGTCGAAGGCCTTGCTACAGTATTCACCGGACACCAGCTGCAGTCTCCCACCAACCGCCATCAATTAAAGTGCAATTAGTCACACCAAAGCCCTCGTTTGAAAGAGGCCCTCCACCACTTCATTCCAGAGTCCGAGCATCTCCGCAGCAACCAGCAAAGCTTTGTGCACGCGTTCTCGTCCGTGCACCAGCTCCATGTCGGTCCGGCTGCAGCTGCCGGCCCTCGTGAACTGCCACCCCCCTTTTTTCTTCCACTGTGGCCCCCTCTAACTTAAACATGACTCTTCTGATTGATTGCCTGAAATCATGCCGCGATTATTGACCTTCAGTGAAGTCACTCGTTTTCACCCCACTTTTGCACGAAGGAACCCAAAAGTAGTACACAGAGGCAGAGTGTAATGTTGTCTTACGGCTTATAGTCTGCCTCCTGCCAACAGGATATAAGCATGAGTGCTCTGTGACTTTTTTCTTTTTTTTCCTCAGTCAGACTGTTGAAAACCTTTTTTGAGATTTTCCTCTTTTTTTTTTTTTTTCTTTTCGGCAAGACATCATCATCTGGAAACACTTATTCTGTGATTTACGAAGGCCCCCTATCGGATTTCCCCCCCAACACAAAAGAGCAGACGGCAGGCGAAACCTAGAAAACTCGAACCATCACAGAAAGATTGATCTGCGCAAACTGAAGTCTCCCTCTTTCTTTCTTTTTTCTAAGTGACAAATGTTTGAATGTGCCTTTGAAATGACATGCATACAGAACAAAAGTCTGTTCATCTGCAGATTAAAAGACTGCTCATGTGCTCGAAAATGTCTTGTTCCATCCAGTGTCGTCTCGTGTGCGTTTACTTCACATCTTGCAAGCGAACTCCTGCACAGCAACAGCGCCGTTCTGCCGCTGACCCACTTTTACTGTAAAAATGCCTTAAAGATGCGATGTCTGGCTTCAATTACCCCACCCAGATCTGGCGTATAACATCACAGGCCTCTATAAAATTATCATGGCGGTTGTAGATGTGGCTTAATACACGCCGCCTTGTGTTACTTGATATGTTCTCTTTGATGCTGGCAAATGGTTTGGACCGAACTTTTCTCGTCTGTGCAAATTCGAGGAGCAGTTTGAGCCCCTCGGCCCGTGCCGGTTTATATGCAGAGGCCACGCCAGTCAGACCGCTGAATTAAGCTCACAGTGCTTTTCTTTCAGGTCGGAGGTGTCAAAACTACAACTCCCAAGCAGCACCGGGGCGGAGCAGCCGCCTGGCGTTAGCAGCAGGCCGGGCCAGAGATGTTGCTCGGACTCCCATCACGACCGATGTTCTCCGACGGGGCGTGCCGTGACGACGCCGGATAAAAGTAAGACCCGTTACTCATGAAAGCACAGAGTGCAGTGCCAACAACTCTGTCTCTAATTTCCCTAATAGTAGTAATAGTAATAATTTCCTAAATAGTAAGAAAGAGTCTTACTATTCAAAGTGACCCTGTGGAAATGTTGGATTGTTTATCCAGTTTCCTAACAAAGGACATTTGTATTTGTTTTCTCTTGCCATTGGAATTAAACACGGCTACTAGGGTGGAGCCGGAACAATGGTGCCGGACCAGCATTACTTTATAATGTAAAGTAATGCTGTATGATAAGATACAGTATTAGACCGGAGGTTGTCAATACTCTTTCAGCCAAGGAGGCTTTATAAGACACAATACTAACAGACAGCCTACTAATTCTCTAGTAGGCTTCAGCTATTAATCGATTAGGCAGTCAACTCATTTTGAGTATTATTTGTTCTATAAAATGTCAGAAAATAGTGAAAATGTAAAAAGTACAGCCCAAATGTGACATCGTATTGCTTGTTTTTGTCGAAGCAACAGTCCAAACCCCATCGATGTTCAGTTTTCCATGATATGAAACACAGAAAAGCAGAACATCCTCACAATGGAGAAGCTGGAGTCATTGAACGGATGCTGTTTTTGCCTGAAAACGACTAATTGTTTCAGCTCTAGTGTCGAGCCTTTTTCCCCCCCAAGGGCTAGGGCTCCATGATAGTGACAATAATGATTACATTAACTACGATGGTGTGTTGTGCCTTCTAGTGGAGGAGCAGCTGTTTCGTTCGGTGGAGGGCCAGGCGGCGTCTGACGAGGAAGACGATAAGTGGACCGAAGATCAGCAGCGGCAGGTGGACGAGGTGAAGAGGATCTTGACGAGGCTGTCCTGCTGCGGGGAAAGGTACCGCTACTTGATACCATCACTGCATCTTAAAGCAGGGCAGCAGCTTACAGCGAGCTAGTGGCATACCATTTCTCACAGTGTTTGCTGTCTATGAGAGGATAGCTCACACAGCAAAATTTCAAGGGAACATTACATTTTCTACGTATGTTATTGAGCAATTGTTTGAGCAAAATGAAGAATTAAAGAAATATCTATAACGATAAATATATAACAAATAATGTTTAAATCTGCATTAGTCTTTTTTGCCTCTTGGGGCGCAGCAACAAACAACAAACTGACAAACAGGCACAAAGTCCAGTCCTGATATATTTGAAGTTTCAAAGTTACGGCTAATGGCTAACATGTTAGCAAACAATTGCCTATACATACCCAGGTACAGAGCAACATTAGCATTTATTTGGAGTCATGTTCCTGTTCACCTGATGGATTTAAGTTCAGTATGTTCTCTACTTTTAGCCAGTCTTCACCAGTTCCTAAAATAGATATCTATATATGTGTCTGTAGCCGCTAGACGTTTGACTTTCTTCACCAGCTAGCTTAGTTGCTAGCTCTGTCTGTCTGCTGTTAAGCTAAGCGTTTGCCAGATAGTGTTCAGTGAGTAAAACCAAAGCAATACGCTAAACGAGCCTAAAACGCTACAGAAATACCAATTAAATAAATGATTTAGCTAATATATCATTTTCTATAACTGCTAAATGTTGCAGCCTGTCCAACTACTATCACAGGGCTAACACATACAGAAGCCACACAGATCTGCACCTACAGGCAAATAAAACGTATTTATTTGTGAGAATCCGCAAGATTATCAACCAGTTATATGGAAGCCCATATGGGACTCTTAAAATGATAATGTAAACTTAAAAAAGAAAATGCAATTCCACAAAAGCATTATAATCTACCTCATATGTACTTGTTATTTGAGTAAAAGAAAATGCAAAAGAAAATTTTCATGTTCACATAATAATAATGAACTTGTAAGCACATTTCATAGAAATCGCAGTACAAAGCGGGCGTTCCATGACCATATTAAAAATAAAATGTGAAAGCTGTTTGACCTTTAATTTTCAAAGTCGTACTGTCCGGTGGACAAAATTCAAATGTTGATTCAAATTTGAAAATGATAATGCAACATACCGTAAACTACGCAACCTGATTTCCATTTATGTAAACAAGTCTAATAGAAAATGCAATTTTCTAATTTGAAAATGAAAACGGCATTTGACATTTCATTTTCAAAGACTTAACCTGCTGTACAGTGAACAATAATCAAATGCAATAATGAAAAACAGCACTCCCAGTCTATTGCATTTACATTTACATTTCGCCATGCTCTTTAGGTGTCAAAATGAAAATGCAATCAGTCCATCATCAAGGCGGGTCTTCCGTTAACTCGAGTAACTCAAATTCCACATGCATATGTTGAAAATTCCTTTTTCATTTTCACGTTTACAATCTAATTTTGATAAAGTCCCCTTTGGGCTTCTATACAGGAATTATATTTGATACTTGTTTCAAAACACACTTGGAAAACATCTGAAACTTGTAAGCGTGATTATTTTAGAACAAAGCAGCAGACCAGCAGCCATGCTAGCTTGTATTAGTGCGCTAAAAATGTTGCTCTGTGTTGTTGATCAGGTGCGACGACAAGGCGTTCAAGAAGCTGATGTCCAGTTATGGGAGCTCGAGGAGCGAGGAGAGCTGCAGCGCTGTGTTGGAGCTCCTGGAGAGAGTGACCAGGTTGCATAAGCAGCTGGAGCTGAAGGAGAGCCATGCGGAGATGGACATGGACCAGGTACAAAACGCTGACCACCGACACACCCGGGTGGGCTGCTTACAGCGGCCTCTGCCCCGGGTCCGCTTGATCCGTTCATGTGAAACCGTTCTCTCTGCGTCCTGCGTCATTCTGTGGCCGCGCGTGTGGTGTTGAACTAGATTAGAGAGGACTGGTGAAGGTTGTTATGAAAGTGGAGGGCTTCAAAGGCCAAACCGCAGCCAGTGGCATGATCCTGCAGCTTCCACCTAACCAAACCTCAGGCACCAGAGCCTCCAGTGTCTGTGTGCGTGGGTGTGTGTGTGTGTTTGCAGCTGTTTCTCACTGGAGTCGACCGCAGAAACACTCCCCCCTTGTCCCGCATGACACTTCAGAGTATCATAAATTAAAGCGGTCCCGTTACAGTCGAGTAGTATTTTCACAACACAGGAAGACGGGCAGAAGGGGAGCCGTGACGTAATGTGTTCCCAGAACGTCTCAGCGCTCCGAGAGGAAAAGTTAAAGCTAAACAAAGTCCCGACAAAATGAGGCTTTGTTTATGCGCAGGATGTGCGGGGTGAGACCTTTGTCCTTCAATACGCCATGACGTAAAGGTGCTCCGCAGGGATTTCCAGCCTTTTTGGCAGACAAACCTACAGTACAATGTGGGCTAAAAGACTCACTCCAACCCTCACGATTTGACAGACATTTACGTTGGGTAAATGTATTAAGGTGTTAAGCGGGCCCACGGGGCAATAACATAACATTTACTAGGTTGACACATCCAGCTGCTCTTGTAAGATTGTCAAATTATGGACATCCTGAGAGTATATCTTGTGTTTCTTCTTAACGGGAAAAGACTCAGACAGTGTTGGTTTTCTAGTATTGTATTTAAAATATTTTCATATGAATCAATGTGGATGAATGATAAAACGCAGCAGGGATTCAGTTCATGAAAGGTTCCACATTAGCTGTTCAAAAATGATTAGTCAATCCTTCCATTATTTGATCCACAGAAAATTGCTCTTAAAACTTTTCCTTAAGAAAAAATGCCAATAATTGACAAGTTCCAGCTTTTCATATGTGAGTATTTGAAGGTTTTATTGGTCCTCTATCATATTGAACTGAATATTTGAGGTTTTTGGACTGTTGGAAGGACAAGTAAGTTAGACGAACTGTTTGCAGCATTGTAGGAGGGGAAGGGGGGGCCGTTCAGAGCGCGTGCCCGTTTGGAGTGGGCCGACTGATGGAGAAGCGCTCGTCGCTCGTTGACTCCAGGGAAGTGAAAAAGAGTTTGGTTGTAACCAGGCGGCAACCTACGGTTCTGCAGATTGAAGCCAATGATCTCTGATCTCCACTGACCAGCAGGGGGCAAAAATAAGCCTGGTTGTATAGAAGTCTATGAGAAAATGACTCTACTTCTCACTTGATTTATTACCTCAGTAAACATTGTGAACATGAGTTTATGGTCTCAATCTCTAGTTTCAAGTCTTCTTCATATTTAATTTCATTGAAAACTGGTATCAAGTGGTTGAGACTGGAGGCTTTCAATTTATTAAATGAAAAACCAGTTCAGCACAAAAGATGAATTCATAAAAAGGAAATTGAGATTTAGAAAAAAAAACTTTTTTTTAACGTTAAGATGAGTCACATAAGGAGACCCGACCCTATGCCAGGCAGACGGGGGTTACCGTCCTCCAGTGTAACGATGTGTGTGTGTGTGTGTGTGTCTCGTGTCTTCCAGATGAAGGACTCTCTGGTGCAGGAGCTGCATCAGAAGGCCGAGGAGACCGAGCTGCTTCAGATGGAGCTGCAGATGCTGGAGACAGAGAGGGTTCGTCTGTCGCTGGTGGAGGAGAAACTTGCCGACATCCTGCAGCTCCTCCAGCAGCTCAGGGACCTGGTCAGTAGCACTTAAACTGCCCTGTTGAGTCTGAAGAGGTCAATTCTGATCCCAGTAGGTTTTTGGGTCAAGCTACTAACAACCAAGGCTCTGTGTTTTTACATGTTTTTTTTTTACCTTTTTATGGCCTTAACATATTGTTACGATTTTTTTGAGCACAGTGAAACGTCCTGTGAACGACAGTTAGACCATCATGGGAAGTAAAACTGAAACTCAAAGTAATGAAAATCATTTAGTTGGGTTGGCAGTTGAGAGAAGGCCCACCCACTCTGCACCGGAATGATTTCTCTGGTCAGACATCAGAAAGAACAGCAAATTGAAAGTACTCACCAGCATCGTTCAAGTACAAACCTCCATGTGGACATCTACTTACTGATCATTGGAATTAGAAGTCCACTTTGCCAACACATGTCTTAGTCATATGAATAGCATGGATGGATTTTTGTCCATTGTTTTGCGTCCTAACCCGACTGGGATTGATTACAGATCTGAGAGCAAATTCATTTCAGTTGCTGAACATGTGTGTGAGAAGCCTCTGTGGTTTGCAGGACGCAGATTGCCCGTTAAAGTGCCCCGTTAATCGCCTGGCAGTCGTCTGAGAATAGCGCTCTCTCTCTCTCTCTCGTTTCAGAACGTCTCGCGGCGGTCCCTCGGGAAAATCTTGCTCAGCACTTTGGGGTCCTGCAGCGACCCACAACATGGTGAGTAGAGCGCACACACCCCATTAAAAACCCATACTGTGTCCTGTGTAATACGATAGTGAAAGTTTACAGTCACTCGGGGCCATCGAACTGAATTACATTTCTCGCCAGGGTCGTCCGTAACACGATTCCCTCAGCGGTCACATCTGTTCTGTTTTTTGTGCACAGGGAAAGCCCACATTCTGGAGGTGCTCAACGCTCTCTATCATGAACTGGCCGCCTGCGAGATCCTGTCCACTGGTGGACCTTTGGAGCGAACACAGAGTCAGCGGTCTGTCAACGCCCTCTTCATCTCCTGCTAATCAAGACCGCCTCCTGCTGGGCCAGCGACGCTCCAACAGCCTCTCTAGAGGTCAACAAACAAGCTGATTAATGTGTATAGTGTATTATATTGTAGCTTATATACTCCTCAGACCCGACTATCTATAAAGGGATATTAGTCTAGAAGTTGTATAGCAAAGGGCTTTATTACATATTAACGTAATTCCTGCATAGACATGTATTTTCAAGACCTTTTAATTGCACTTAAGTCTTTTTATACGGAAGCCCTGAGAGGGAAGTGAGAGAATAAAAACGTACGTGATCCATTTCTTAAATCTGATCTAAATTGTATTCTCTCTTGTGTTCGTGACTTATACATATATATATATATATATATATATATATATATACATATATATGTGTATATATATATAGGTGAAAAAAAGGTTTTGCCAGGATAATAAGTTCCTTCATTTTTTTCATCGATGAAAATATTGTAACACACAATATAAATGTATGTACCTTGTTTCCATGCTCTCAGTTTGAGTGCATGGAAGAAAACATGAATGGTTTTTGTCCCACATGTGGGTGTTGGTGCACTGCATCCTCTTGTGGCAGAAAATGAGAGTTACAACAACAACCACTAATACAAGAACATTTATTTTCACCTGCCAAAGCTTTTTTCGACCCTTTTCACAGTTAAACAATAATGTTACTTAAAACAATATATAAAATCCTGGCAAAACTTTCTTCTTTTGAGCTGTTCTTAAGTCACAAACACAGGAGAGAAGACAATTTAGATCAGACTGAGAAATGAATCACCAGAATTAGTTTTCTATACTTGCCTCAAAGGGCTTCTTTACTTTCATGATCCGATATGGATTTTTTTTCCCCCACAACAGAGTTCTGAATGTAAAAATGTTGAAATAAGCTAAACCTTAAAGGGGCATGAAGCAGTCTGTGAAATGTGTCGACCTCCTCTGGTCAACAGGTCAACAACATCCCCGATAGACTTTAAAAGGAAACTGTGTCTCATTGCATACGCTTCATTCATATCAAGATGAAATGTATCATAACATGGGGACAAGGCGTGTCATTACAAAGGCCTCTGCATAGTTCACAGAGAGGTGCTGCCTACATTTGACCCAATATGGAGGACTCTATTGGTGCGTGCCTAGTGATGTGTGAAGGTGCCTTCATTGCATCAGCAATGTTGGGAAACAGCAGCCATTTAGTATCTACCAGGTATTTGCATTCAGGTACTCATCTGTCAGAGCTATAACAGGAACTGGACCAATGAAAAAGCCCTACAACATGTAAATACTGACTTTTTGTTTGTTTGACCAAACACTTAACTAAAGGTCCACGTACTCCTTCCAAAGCGTTCGACCATATCCCATGGTCTTCATCAGCGGGCACGGGAGTTTTCCGTAGATGTTATGGATACAGTATGTTTGCATTAACATTAACCTGCTACGCTTTTTGGTCCATGATTTGTGTTGAGGTTGAACTTTAACCTGGTACTGTAAACTAAGTCACCACTAGTTTGACTGTCCTTCAAACTCCCTGGTGCTGAAGTTGTAACTTTTTTTCATAGGAGGGGATAACGGTTGCCTAAATGCATCATTCGTTTTGGTGTCGGTCAGCCTGCATATTCAGGACTTCTAAATGGGCTGTATTCATTTGACTGGTCAAATAATTGCAATAATATCTTCTTCTTTTTTTTGAGGCCAGTTTGTTTGGCTGATCACAGAACAAATGTACAATTTGGATATTTAGATGGACTTTATTGTCCCCAGAGGAACCCGCATACAACAAGTTCTATTCACACAAACAATAAGAAAATATAAACGGCCCCTATGCTGGTTTCTTTGTATAGTGCAGCTTCACTCGCTCTGAAACATGAAACTTGTCTTGAAACTAGAGCCTCGGATGCAGTAACGACTCACTTGTGTTATAGAATCATGCCATTAAAGCCTTTAACTTTCACCATCTGGATTGCTGTGATTCTTTTATATTCACACCTGTGAAAAGTAAACTTCTAACTCCTTCTGCTGCCAACTCAAACAAACTGATCCACATGCACGTATCAGGCTCCGAAATGTCAGCTCACTTTCCCATCAGTATTTTTTTATTTTTCATCATATAATTCTAACTCAACTCCTACCTTTTAGAATACAGTTTAATCAATGACTTTTCGGATGTGCTGTCTATTTTAGCACCAAACTATATATATTATAATATTAAAATATTTTATCCCGCCTCCTTATCTCTGATATCCACATGATTCTGTGCTATCACTCCTTCCACTGGTCTAAATATGAATAGGTACTTCTTGCACAAATTGAGGACGTTTTTTACTTTTGGGCAGTAATCTATGACACAGCATCTATTTTATAAAATGATTTTGTGTGAAGAATAGAGAAGGCCTAACTAGTATGACTTTCAGATAACAGCCCTCTGAAGTATAGACATAATAAAGAGTAATAAGATCATGGGCTCTATGATAATGCTCGAGTAAAGTAGACCAAGTAACTCAGAACTGTATCAGTCCTACAGAGCTGGAGCAGGTCACCTTACATTCCACCACGAGACAACTCAGCCCTTCAACACTCATGCTGTTGAGTTGAGTTGCGTCGCTAGGCAACGTCCCCAAAATCCCGCGAGACGTCATTAAGAAAGAAGCGGACATCAGAAAGTAGGAAAACAACAGTTTGCCTGTTAATTATAATGTCCAGGAAAAGATAAAGAAACGGAGGGGTTAATTACAATATCTGTATGAAATGTTGGATGGAGAGACGAGCAAAAAAGAAGAGAGGGTTATTTAAACGAATATTTAAGTTCTCGCGGGATATATTGGGTAGCCTAGCGACGGGACTCTAATCGCCCATACCAGCTGTTTTAGTCAGTCGCGTGAGCTTCATTCTGGCTTTCAAAACTAAAGCTATAGTTAGCTAGTGCTAAAACCAAATGAATGTATGTTGGTGGAGAGTCATTTTAAAGTCTGAAAAAACTTCTTAAATTCGACTGTGAAAATGGCCACTGTTGTTGCACAGTCTCATTTCATCTTCGGTCTGCGGACAGGTGTGAGGAACAATTTGTGTTTCGTCGATGAGCAAACGGTCGTTTTCCCCGGTGGAAACAGCTGCGTGTGCTTCAACACCGTCCAGAGATGTCAGCGGTTCATTCCAGGTACGTTACAAGTGATTTAGAATAATTAAAGCACCTCGCTAATGTTGTTCCCGTCAGTCTGTTTAGGTTAAATAGTTAATGTGGCATTATAGTCTTCTGAAATTCCATTTATTTTTCTCATGCTTGTTGTTTGTCGTCCCGTTGCCGTTGTCTCTCCAGGCTCGGAGAACAGCCAGGGCATGCGCGCGCTGGCCATCAGCGCCAACCGGCGTTACCTGGCGGTGGCGGAGTGTGGCGGGAATGCCACCGTCACCGTGTTCGACCTGCAGCACGAGCAGGGCAGGAAGAGGAAGGTTCTGACCGCCGGGGACGTGCTCGTGCAAGAGTTCGTGTGCGTGGCTTTCTCCCCGGATTCCAAGTACCTGATAGGCCAAACGGGCGGCCCGGACGGGACGCTGGTCTTCTGGCTGTGGGAAAAACAGAAAGTCTTGGCAACGGTGAAGACCGGCAACTCTGTCACCCAGGTGAGTCGTCCGGAGGCAGCCACAGGTCTCGTGCATTGCAGGCGCGCGTGCTCTAAACCCGTTGTTAGCGTGTCATGTGATGCCCCCATCAGGTCAGCTTCAGTCCTCACGACAACACCCGGCTCTGCGTGAGCGGCTTCGGTGTCTTCAAGCTGCTGCGCTACTCGGAGGGAGCGCTGAAGCAGAGCCGCACCGCGAAGGTGGAGGCCGTCAACTTCCTGTGTCACGCCTGGGTGACGGAGGAGCGGGTGATCGCCGGAACGGACGCGGGCAGGCTGCTGGTGTTCGAGTCGGGAAACCTGCGGAGAGAGATCAACGTGGCTACTGAGGCTGCGCAGGAGCAGTGTGACATCAGGTCAGAGGATGGAGCTCATTACTGTGATGATGTGGTAGCATGGCTTTGCCACAGATTGTTTTATATACTCATATGTCTCATAGAACAAAGTGTGAAGGATAGGACAGATGAGAGTTTAGTCCAAATGTGTGTTATGTAATAGAAAGATTACACTGAGTTTATTCTCAACAAATCCTGAAACACCAATGATGAATTGATCCTGCCAACAAGCAGAGGTGGCCATTTAAATCACACGGCTTGGACTAAAATCAGACGTCTTGATTCATGAATCTAATAACTTTAGACTTGAATTGACAAAATAAAACAATAGTTCAACAGCTCAGCGCTATCATGTGAACACAACTTAGCAAACTGCATCCGCTGATGAAGGCCTGGAGATGTAGCTGAAAGCTCTGGAAAAAGCTTTTTATGTCATGCTCGGAAATGTATTTTTTTTTAATCCCACTAGCAATAAACCAACAGTATATACAGTATCAACAGTATTTATTTTTTTTACTGTGATTCTGGGTATAATGGTGGTGCAGCAGGTCATTGGGTCTTTCAATCAAGCCAACTTTTCCGTATGGTTTTGGTGCATCCGGTTGAACTGAGTTGTTGGTTTTTGCTGAATATCCTTGTTTTTTCCCCATAATTCACTGCACAGGCCAGTGGAGATGAAGAAGATCACAGACGCTGACGTGGGCGAAGGTCCTCGCATCACAGCCATTCTGTCCTACTCCAAGGGCTTTGCATGCTCTTTGGGTCCCGGCACCGTCTGTCTCTTTGAAAAGAGCGAGGAGGACGGCTACAGAAGGAGCAGGGAGATACGGGTGAGTGTTCATGCAGGTGACGGCGGTACTGTAGACTCTGTGTGAGTTTCAAAGGGATCACGTGTGTGTGTTGTTATCCGTCAGATCCCAGCAGAACCATGCAGCAATGAGCTGACCTCGGCTGAATGCCAGGAGATCCACACCATGTGCATCAATCCAGCAGAGGAGACTCTGGCCGTCAGCACAGACAGAGGACAGCTGTACAGCTTCAGCCTCTCCTCTGTGGCGTTCAACAAGGTGGAGTCACCTCTACCTGCACCATCACTGACACTGTGGCACTGTGTTAAAATAAACACCCCCTCATCGTTCATTTTAATTAGACCACTGCGTTAAAGGAGAGCTCGAGCAAAACATGGAGGGTAAAAACTGTGGAAAGGCTTTATATTAAGGTCCTTGTAATAAATGTTTCTTATTAGGTAATAGGCATCTTATAAGTCCTTATAAGATGCTTATCAACAGTATTATGTGTTAATACGACTATATAAGTGTTAATGATATCACAAACACGTTTATTGTTAGATTATAAGCATTTATAAGAATAATGTTTACAGTTTATAGACTGCTTAAGAACGTTAATTATAGCTTTATGAGTGTCTTAATAAATCCTTTACTATGCAATTATTAACAGTCAACTATGCCTTTGAAGCTACTGGATCCAAAGCGAGAACAATGCCTTATTAAGTATAATAAATCATTTATCATTTGAATGTGAATAAAGAAATATATATATATATATATATATATATATATATATATATATATGTATATATATATACAGTATATACACAATGTTTTAGCAGTAAAGCACAAAAACACCCTTTAACATAGTTTGATTAATTTTTTTGAACTTTCCATCATTTCCACGTAAACGGCAGCCACTTACCTGACGCTTACTACAAGGACCTTAATATAAAGTGTAACCAAAACGTTTGCCTCAATCCAATCTGATGTCACCTGACACTGTGTTGGCCAATACATGCACGCCCACATTCCTGGTAGATTACTCTTTCACATGAACATTTCTACTGCTTACCTGGCAGTTGTCGATAAGGTAAAAGAAGACCAGTAAGATAAAATGTTGTAGCCGTAATCATATTCGGAGCTGAATAATAGTCATACCTGCAAACTTGTCACTTTTCGGTGAAATTCACCGTTTTGAATCAAAAATATATCATCCACGTGAATCGTGTAGATCCGTAGAGTTTTTTTTAACGGGTGGGTCAACTGGTCAGCCAGCATTTCTCAGATTGGAGTGAAACGAGGAGAAAATGTGATGTCGTGATCTTCACAATAGAACATCTTTGACGTGTCGAGTCTTGGCCAATCAGCGTTCAGATGTGTACAGCGTCTTTATTTCCCTCCGTTAAAGTTTAAGTTCCGTTATGTTCCATTACCGTTCAGACTTGCTGGGTTAAGTTAACGTCCACTGCATGCGGAACTTTGTCGACCGTTAACGTTCGTCATTATCGCGATTTAGAAGGAAAAAACGTAACGTGATGAAACATGCAGCCCCCCCGTGTTCCGGTTCAGTTCACGCGGTCACTCGTTAACGTTAAACCCGAACACCGGCGCATCTGGTTGCAGGTTGTTTGTTTTAACTCAAAGTAGAATGAGGATGATTTCGTGGTCAGAATAACTTTCATTACCACGATGATGAGGCCCAGATACTGATGAGATGATGAGGTCAAAGAGCTTCAGGGAGAGGAGGCTGGTTGTGTAGCGCAGCTTGACGCAGGGCTGAGATGTGAAGGAGCTGGGCCTGGATAAAGGTGGAGGTCTAAACAGACCTGAGTACAGCTTCCTGCTGTCACAGTATTTTAAATACATTGATAAGGCAGGGTATGCTAAATGCAGCCTCTGCTCCAAGGAGATGAACTACAGCAACAAGGGCTCACATGTCCTCTCATCACACTGTTCACACTGTTTACTGTGATGACCACAGCCAGTGTACCAACAGTCCCAACAGTCCCACGTTGCTCCCAATAACCCTGAAGTAATGAGAGGGTTAAGGTGCCTGTACCTTCATTTCAGCAGGTTTCTAATGCAGAGGTGTGTATAGATCACAGCTATTATTTTACTCTTGATAAGCTACTTTAGCCAGAGTAGATTATCATTTTCATTTAAATAATTGAAATAGAAGATAGGCCACAATTCTAACAGCTTTACAGTAACAGTAGAAGTTAATATTAAGCCATACAGTAACAGGGTTCAATGAAAACTAATCACTTTATTTCTACAGGTGATGGTTCTTGCTATTTGCTTTGTTTTTATTTGACCAAAACTCAATGGATTTTGTCTAAATATAGGTTCATATTAATAATAGAGCTGAAATACTGATTAGTAACTGAATAATAAATTAGTTTTTTGCTTAAAGTAAATGTCTTATCACTTAATTTTATTCTCAGAGTACTCCAGAATGCTACATTTTAAACCTCATATTTAAAATAAAATTCTCGGATAGTACTCTATGTCACGGTTCTGTTTTGTGGAGGCTGATTAACCATCAGACGTACTCAACCCGGCCTTCCTGGGTCGTAGTTCATTTTCTTCACTATGGACGTTGCATTTTGTTCAATGAAGGGCTATTTTACAACCAGAATTATGCTATGCTAGGATTAGCTAGTCTCCAATCAGACAATGTAATTGGATGTAGATCAGATGACTTTCTTTCACTTCCTCTACTTTTTCCTTCAGTCGTTACCCTCCGCTGTCTGTCCTCTTTTGTTTCTCTTCAGCCATGGCTCTGTAGATGTCAATGTGGTCAACATTACACCTACTTCACATCAGCATGTTAGCGTTGTCATTCCAAGCAAAACCGCTATGAAGGCTTTAAGGCTTTATTTCTTGCCAGTTCCTCCCTTCTCCCTCTTCCGTTGCTTCCTTGGCACATTCTTCCCCCATGTTTTACACACCAAAGCAACTTCCTCTTGACTTTGGATCCTTATGTCGACTCCATCAACCTTTGTTTGTAACTCTGTCCATCAGGAGGAACATTTTGAGTTCCTGTCGCAGTCCTTCCACTCTCAGTCCATCACTGGTTTGTCCGTCTGCATTAGAAAGCCGCTGGTGGCCACCAGCTCTCTGGACCACTCTGTCCGCATCTGGAACTATGAAACAAAGTAAGAGATGAGATCACACCATAGCCCTTTGTTATTTTGTTCATGACCAGTGATGTATTTTCTTAATTTCTCCACACTATCTTTGGCATCGTCATACACATATAGATTGGTATTCAAACGTGATTTGGAAAAGTGTGTTCAGTGTTATGTTTGTTCATGCTGCTGTGTCTCTCCGTGGCTGCTCCCTGTGTTTCGTCACTAGGTTGTTGGAGCTGTCCAAGGAGTTCCAGGAGGAGGCGCACAGCGTGGCTCTGCATCCCACTGGCCTCTTCATCCTGGTGGGCTTTTCAGACAAACTCCGGCTGATGAACCTGCTCATCGACGACATCCGCACCATCAAGGAGTTCACTGTGCGCTGCTGCAGAGAGGTGGGTTACATGTGGGTTAAATGATGGCAGATATCACAGCCACATGACGCACCTTTGAACTCTAACCGTTTTATTTGTATTTGTTCTACTTTCTCTCTCCACACCTCAGTGCGCTTTCAGCCACGGTGGCCACATGTTTGCGGCCGACAACGGAAACGTCATCCACCTCTACTCCGTCACCTCTTTTGAGAACATCCTCAATCTGAAGGGCCACAACGGGAAGGTGAGTCGGCCAGGAGAGAGTATCGATGCGTGTGGAACGAGTGAGTTCGGGATCAGAAGCGCCTTTATTCGCAATTTGATTCAGTTTTTTATTTTTTTTACATCTCCCTCAATGTACTTAAGAAATAGAAATAGCAGCTAGGGACAAGGACAGACTAGACAGCACATAACATGTCTATATATATATAATATTATATAGATTACACATATGACCAACAATAAAAAAAGGAATAAATTGTCTCTGTACTAGTTAAGAGTTCTGTAAGATATAAAACAAAATGTACAAATATAATTATATAGTTTCATTTTCGCAGGTGCGAGGCATTGAATGGAGCCTGGACGACACACGGCTGGTGTCATGCGGGATGGATGGCGCCGTGTACGAGTGGAACACACAGACGGGTAAGCGTGAGTCTGAGAGCGTCCTCAAGTCCTGCAGCTACACGGACGTGGCCTTCTCCTCAGACTGCAGGACCATGCTGGCCGTGGGAACGGACCTCACCCTGAAGGAGATCCAAGACTGTCAGGTGAGTGAGAGCAACACTGTACCTCTGTTGAGTTTCCATCGGTGGAAACGAGTGGAAGCGGAATGAGCTTAATGTCTTCTTCATGTGGGAGGGGAGTTTTAGGAATGATACGAGACATTTTTTAGTCACAAACCAGAATGTTTGGGAACCTCTGGTAATAAATGAATCACTGGCGGCTCAAATAAGTCTCAGACCTTTACATTTTTATATTCAGCATTGTAATAATTCCTATTCTATGTATGGTTTCATATCTTTTGCCAACAATGCTGCAACAATGTATATCTGGCTATAAAGTAGTGAGGAACAAGGAAGTTATTCTGTAACTAATTCAGTTAAAGGCCTTCTTCTTGCACATTCCTCTGCTCCTAATATAAAATATTCAGTGCCGCTAAAGAAAAAGTGAATCCGTTATTGTTTGCCCTCCCAATTGAGTGTGTCATGGGTTCCACAGGTCCTGAGGGAGGTTCCGGCCAATGGCGTAGCTCACACCGCTGTGGCGGTGTCTCACTCGGGCAGGGTGGTCTTCACCGGGACTTCCAGTGGGACCGTCAGAGCTATTAAATACCCGCTACCGATCCAGAAGGAATGGATCACGTACCAGGCTCACTGCGGCCCCGTCACCAAGGCGGGTCCACATGTTGATGCACACTTTGCACACGCCACACAGGCTTCAAACTACTGGAGTTTTTCCCATTGTAAACAGTTTCAACATGTTTTTAATATTTTTTTAACACACATACCAAAAAAACTGTCAAGCTAACAATAAGTATATGTATCTATCTATCTATCTATTTATAATATAATAAACCAACAGCTTGCTTCACTCTATATGGTCAAAAAGGGGTTAAAATGAAATGCAAAACTGAAGAACATCCCGATCAAAGCCTCATGGGATGAGGAGAGGATGTCTGTGGTCCAGCCTGAAGGGCGACATCGTCTGCTTTAATGTTTAGCAGGACCGTTGCATACGGTGTTACTGCAAAGAGTGCTGTTCATGCAACTGGATCAGAGGTTTCTAAAAATAAAGGACCAATAGTCATGAAGGATTTGGTAAGACCAAAGCATATGAATCAGTGAGGCAGACGCTGGTTAATGTCAGCATAGATGTGATAAAGTGTGGTGTATGACTTCTTTAGACCGTGTTTGGCACATATGGATGAAGAGTGGACCCGGAGAAGAATATCATCCCGTGAATGACCATTCATTTCTTCTCCTCTAACTTGCTCCCATGATGGTTTGACATTGAGGGACTCTCATATCCACATTAGATGATATCTTGTTGAGAGTTGGAATATGTTGAGAGGGAGAAATTATCTCCTATGTCGACCATCATAACAAGTCTGTCTAACTGACCGCTGACTTGGTGTTCCCTTTAGATGGTGACCACGTTCGACGACCAGTTCCTGCTGACAGTGTCAGAAGATGGCTGCCTGTTGATGTGGAAGGTCATCGACAAGGAGGGCCGAGGACTGAAGAGCAACAGGCAGATCATCCACACTGAGGAGATCCTCATCACCAAGTCAGACCTGGAGGAGAAGGTGTGTGTGTCTGTGTGTGTGTGTGTGTGTGTGTGTGTGTGTGTGACTGCATTCGGACATTTTACTTCCATATGTCTCAGTTACTGATAGTAGTAACATGAGCTTGAGAAACACAGTATTGGTATGAGGTACTTAACAGTAGGCCCCCAGTTTATATATATATATATATATATATACGTATTTGCCTCTGTTGATCTCATTGAGATGATGAATAATCACATAGGAATTGGTTGGTAACATTTTGGGACATCCAACACAAGTGTCCAATCCCATGTTGTGTGTTGCAGACCCAGAACATGCTGGAGCTAAAGATGCGTCTGAACGAGCTGCAGATGGAGAACGAGTACCAGCTCCGCCTGAAGGACATGAACTACAAGGAGAAGATGAAGGAGCTTTCTGACAAGTTCACCCAGCAAATAGAATCTCTGAACACAATGCTACAGGTGTGCTGGTCACCTAGCACACAGCTCCACTTCAGATATACTCAACACCACTACAGTTTATGGCCAAAACATGTACCGGAAACCAACCATGGCTGTATTTAGTTACTATGACTGTTAACATTTTGTCATTAATGACATCAAGTCATATATTACAGACAACCTATTTGCAGGATTTGCATCCATCTATTCTCTCAGTTGTTTAACTTAAAGCTGGAGTAGGCAGTTTATTTTGGGCAAACATTCCATAATGGCCTTTCAGCATATTGTAATTCATGTGGTACCCCAGGGGAGGCAGTCTTCTCTCTGTCCTAAGCTCCTCCCATCAGACGAGCATCATGCGCTTCTCAGAGTAACCTGTAATAGTGTACTAGTCATTCATCTCAAACATCATCCCCATCCTCATTGTGATCCCGATAACGTTATATCCTGTCCTGACACACTGTTATTCGATGCTCTAGCTAGCTGCATGTCGGCGAAGCCTTTCAGAGATGGAGAGAAAGTGTTGCTACTAGCTTAGCTTTCTGCTACTCGTAGCCGTGTGCTGCTGTGAGCTAGCGGCAGGTGGCTATGGTTAGCAGAAGGCTAAACTATTATTACCAACATTTTGTCTCCATCTCTGAAGTGCTTTGCCAGTGTTGTCAGACTCTTTGATAAGTCCGTCCTTGTTTGGGTGGCTTTGCAGTGTCGGCCGTTGTTACCAATGTGATTGGCCGAAGTCTCCCCTCACATAGAGCCTGAAAACAGAGCTAATAGGAGATGCAGAAGTCTAGTTTTCTCATGTTACAACATGCTGAAAGGTTATTGTGGAATGACGGCAGACATAAAGTGCCTCCCCCGGCTTTAAGAGCCTTTATTGTCCCGTCATAACGTCTTCTGTACCTATAGGCCATGAAGGCAGAGATGGACAAGCAGGCACACAAGCACCAGGAGAGTTCTGCAGAGGCCACTGTGAAACACTCAATGGAGCTGAAAGATTTAGGTAAGAGGAGGACAGGATCAGTGTCCGGGGGACCGTGTAACCTTGTTTCTCCGAGGATCAATCAATCTGTCTGTCAATCACACACAGAGGTATCCTACAGCCAGAAGCTCATTGTAGAGTACGAGAGGAACCAGGATCTTCAGCATGAAAGTCAAAGGATGCAGGAAGAGTATGAGAAGCAGCTGAGGGCTGCGGAGGAGAGCAAAATCCAATCCCTCGAGCAGCTGACACAGCTCTCCGAGGCCAAGCTGCAGGAGAAGACTCAGCTCCTGGGTCAGGTCGGTCAGAGCTTTAGGGACCAGATAGTGTCTTATGGAGTGGAAGGGAAGTTCTTGTGTCCACTTTGGTTTTTCTCCCACTTTCTTTTTGTGCAGTGTCAGGATGATGCACAGCAGCAGGTCCGTGAGTTCAAAGAGATGATGAGGCAAGTAGAGGAGGACGAGGAGAGCAAGATCCATGACATCCAAATCCACTATGAGCAGAAACTGCACACCGAGAAGGAGACCAACACCAATCTGAAAGGAGAAACTGGTGTCATGACTCAAAAGGTGGCCGCAGTTCCTCTCATCTGCTTCCTATTGCATCTCAGTAAATCCCCCTCACATTTGTGTTTCTTCCTCCTTTTCGGTGGATGGTGGTGTGATCACAGTTCCACAGTCTGCAGAGACAGGTCGATGACCGGTGCACAGATATAAAGCAGCTGAAGCAGGAGCGACAGAGGCTGCTGGGTCTGGTCCGCTCCCTGGAGAGCGACATCGAGGACCTGAAGCGGCAGATCTCTGGACACGAGAAGACCAACCAGGACAAGGTGGCTTCAACATTTTACATTCAAAGAGATTACCAGCAAGGTCTCCGTGTTTTTTCACATTCAGCCAATAGTTTTGCTCTATAAAAGCTTTTGTTTAGTCGTGATTTGTCTTGAAGCAGAAAGGTTTGGTTCCATCTTTTGGAGTGGGAATGTTTTTATCTCTCTAATCACATTTTAGTTTGAAATCAATAAATAGAAACACATGAAAGAAGACAAAGAGTTGATATAATACAAAAGTGTGCCGTTGATGAAACATGGCCCTCTAGATGCTTTTTGAATCAGATGTTATGTGATTTAATTTGGACTTCCACGACTGATTCTGGGTCAGTGGGGAGATAAACAGCAACACCTGTATGTTTGGTATGGTGAGAAACACTGGGTCCTCCTGAACCTCTCTGAGCCATGACAATATTACATTACATACACAAAAACTGAATTTTGTTTCCACGTATAGGATCAGACCATCTCCACCTCCAAGAAGAAGAACCAGGAACTGGAGAAGTTGAAGTTTGTTCTCGATTTCCAGTTCAGCGAGTTGAAGAAACAGACTGAGCCTCAACAAGATCAAATCAATGAGAAGAAGGAGCACATCCATCAGGTGTGTGTGTGTGTGTGTGTGTGGCCCTCCCTCGGTGAAACACAACAGCGTGTTGAACCCATTCTTGAACACGCTGATCTGAGCGTGATCTCAGTGCGTCTTGGGTGCATTCACTCCTGCTCTTAGAGCTGTCCACTTGTCGTTGGATCACCCAAGATGCATCTTTATATCAGGTCTGAACAGGGCCTGTGCGTAGCCCCTTTCACACTGAGCTTCCACAATTCTGCAGTAAAGAAGATCCGCCGTCACGCCGGCTTTGCTTTTTCACACTGAACCAAACAGCAGCAGCATAATGCTGCATCACAGGGACTAAAGAGGTGACGTTTGACACAACAGCAGCGGCCTCTAGTGTGTGGGATAACGGGCACGTTGGGCAGCGACTTTCATAGTAAAGGTCATATGTCGGTTGATCTCATCCTCTGCTCGGAGGTTAAGGAGCTCCTGGACCTCCTTGTCTCCCCCGATTCACTTCCATTCGGCTGCAGGCTAACTGCTGCTAGCGTTTTGGGTGGTTGGGGCACTCTCAGTACTCAGTACTACACTAGCACTGAGAGGCGACTGTGTTCCAGTGGTAGAGCCTTCAATCAGAGGATCGCCGGTTCGATCCTCGGCTCTAGTCCATGTCCATGTGTCCTTGAGCAAGACACTTATCCCCAAATTGCTCCCTCAGGCTGTTCCTGCTGCGTATAAATGATAGATAGTCCTGATGGGCAGGTAGCCCTGTCATCAGTGTGTGAATGTCTGAATGATGACATGTAGTGTTAAAGAGATTTGAGTGGTCAGAAGACTAGAAAAGAGATGTACAAGTACAGTCTATTTACCACTATAGTCACCAGGGACAGGGGCTGTTGCTCCAACCTGAAAAAGTTGAATTATTATGTTAATATTAGTGTGTACTTTACTTCAGCTCCAGCCCCCCCGCCACCCTGAATAGTACAAGCGGTTACAGATAATGGATGGATGGATGATGAACTCATAAATGATGATCCACCTTTTCCAGCTGCAGCGTTGAAGTGATGAACACATTAATGCATTATCCCATAATATGATATAAATGACTCTGAAACGGGCCGATCTGCATCAGAGACAACAGACTGGAGCTCTGTGCTGCTCTGCAGTATTGACGGCTCTGTTCTCTCTCCTGTACAGCTGGAGGAGCAGCTGCTGCTAACGGACAAGAGCAACACTCAGCTGACGCTCAGCGTCTCTGAGCTGGGGCTCAGACTGAGGACCAGGAATCAGGAGATGCATAAGGAGATGCTGAAAGTGAGCACACAGCTAACACTATGAGGGTTGCATGAGGATACACACATGCTGCACATGCTACTTTACCAGCTTTACGACGTGTTAAAGGCTGTAACAGCTATTTGATAGATGTCATATTTCTCTCCTCTCATAGAACTAAACAACATATAACTGGAGGATTAAACTAAACTCTGATCGCTGTTTAATTTGACATGTTTACACTCTCACAGTGAAATAACAGTGTTTCTCTGGGGCACTTGGTTGTCAAAATGACCCATGATGCTTGATGGGAGGAGACCTGAGCACAGGTCAGTGCAGGAAAAGCTCAGTGTAAATACCAACATTGATGATGCTCCATCAGGTTCCTTGCTGAGCAGTGGCAGAGGGACAGCAACACGTTTATCTCACTCAGACTAGCAACAACTAAGCCTCTTCATGTACAAACGGGCAGAAGATTAGAGGCAAGTGAGAAAACATCCATTCTAAGCCTGATCGAAATAGTTTCCTCTCCTGTGTCTGACATAGCAGAGCATAGACACACCTGGTGTCAATGATGCTGATGGATGCTGGGTAAAGTTACAGCTACATTCTTCTTCACTGCCCGTAGTCAAAGAGCGATGAGCAACTCGAGAACGCTGCAAGCTGGAGGCCGAGAAATCAGCGCATTCTGAAACAATGAACAGGCACTGCACTAGTGTCATAGAAAAGGTCATCGTATAGTGCAGGGGTATTCAATTAAAATTCCAAAAGGTCCAGATTGAGAAAATCTCCTAGGGGCAAAGGTCCGGAACATTACAATAATATCTAACTTGCGCTATTTAGTGCCATATATATATATATATAGTATATATATATATATATATATATATATATATATTGAAGTAGCCTAGTAGTAGTCGTAACGTCTCTGTGTAGTCAACAACTGTCAAATCAAATGAAGAAAGTACACATCAATTATATTTTAACAATTATTATTCTCAGTTTTCAAATTGAACTGGATGGATTATAAATAATACATAGAAATACATAAATACATGTTCTTCTCATTTCAAGTAAAATAAGGGCTGGATTAAATAATAACTGATATAACAGAAAGCTTTTGAAAAATGTGCATCTTAAAATAAAGTACTTCATTTTAGAAAAAATGAATTTCACCGATTTGCCCTGCAGTTTAAAATTCACTTCATTCAGATGTGAAGTGATGTCAATCAAAAAAGTTACGATATTATATTTTTCTCACTTCTAAAAAGAGAAATTAGTGTGCATGATCTTTATCTGTGGTTATTAACACTTGTTTCAGTTATATTCTCTCTGTTTACATCATTGTTGGTCAGTGAATTCATGCGTCAGGATTCTGATCATTTTGGGCTCTTAGGTTTATTTTCTGTGTCTTCATTTCAGATGTGAGAGGGAACGTTTGCTCAAAAGAGTTATGCTTTGTCTCGTAGTGGCGCTTCACATTACCGCTTTTAATAATCGTCATGGTCTCTGAACATGTGAGACATACAGGTTTTAAACTGTCCGTGGGAAGAATTAACCTGAAAGAGTCTGTTCACTCTTGGTTAAAGACTCTGGTCTCTCTGACCACTTTTCTCTCATCATGTGAAATAACTTCTCTGACTCACGTAATTATTCTCCTACTCTTCGTCCTCTCTCCTCTCTCTCCCGTGTGTGTATCTCACTCGATTCAGGAAACTTGTCAGAATACCCATATTTGATTGGCTGACCTGCATCACGTTGATGTGATTTGCACCGCTGAACAAGTACCGTAAAGGCTGAAAAAGCTGCGCCGGTTAAAATAGAGGCACTCCGTCAAAATTTAATAATTCTCAATTATCTATCGGTTTTAGGTCCTGGGTCCGGATACAACGGCGTCTGGGTCCGGATCCGGACCGCGGTCCGCCTATTGGCGACCCCTGGTATAGTGTGTCACAAAAGATAATGGATCACCAGCATGTGTTCCCTCACTAGCCTCTGTAGAAGATAGATGTGAATATATTTTCCTCGGACAGGTGAAGGATCTGGAGACGCATCTTCAGCGGCTCAAGTCAGACCTCCACGAGTGTGTCAGCTTCATCCAGGACCCCAGGAAGCTGAAGGAGAGCGTGCAGACGATCTACACCCGCTACGTACCGCAGACCGACGAGGTGAGCGCTTCATGCAGTGGGTGGATCCCTTAAAGCCGACAAAGAGATGCTTTAATAATTCTCGTCTTATTGAAACTTGTGATTCATGTTCCAAGGTGAAGAAAAGCAGCGATGACGAAGACGTTCAGAGAACGGTCGTTCGTGATCACCAGGTCGTGATCACTCGTCTCAGGACGAGGCTGGCCAGATCTGCTGAGGAGCACGAGAGAGCCTACGTCAAGATCATGAGGGTACATTATAGAACCCAACGCTGCACTCTGAAGTTCTACTTCCTGTTGAAACAATCGGTGTCTCTTCACATTCAGTAGATCTACTTCCTGTGCGTTCTTTCTTGAAGACGAGATGTTCTAACAGTGGTGGCCCTCTCCTCTCCTCCGCAGGAGAAAGGGACTCTGATTACTGAAATCAACGAGCTGCGCAAGGAGCTGCACATGGCGAGGACTCAGCTCAGAGACCAGACGGCTCAGCTGGCCGCCCTCGACAGGTCCGACAGGTTTTTATAAAAGTCCACCATGAGGACTTTTATAAAACACTTCCTGTTTTGGCTGAGAACTCCTGAAACATGAGGTCTCAAATCACACCTAGTTTTTCATGGATTCCTTCATTAATAATGAATCTAACCAAAACAGAGTTTCTGCAATTTGAAATGGTTAATATTCCATCAGCTGTGTCTTTACTTCACCAGAAAGATGAATGTTGAATCAATTTATACACAGCTTATTCATATTTACAACTATTGGAAAATAAAGACTTGACATGTCTCTGATCATCATTGTGAATTTGTATTTGGTCTCACACTTCACTCACAGCCATCAAATACTGTTCATAAGTCCTTATAAGAGTGTTAAAGTAGCTTTCATGCAATAGCTAATAACTTACAGTGCTGTCACGTCACTTAAAACTCATAAAGTTATGCTATAAGGTGTTATTGATGTTTGTACATTTCATTTCAGAAACGTAGAAATGATAATCTGTTCTGACACGTTGGAGCAGTTCTCTATGTGTCTGAATAATTGCATAAAGTTATGGTAGTTATAATGTGCTGTGTAACACAGGACTCATATTCTTCTTTTTGATGTGTTCTCATTATTACTACGAATATTAACAATATTATTGTGATTATCGTCATTATCAAAAACTTGTAAACAATCATCCACAACTTCCCCAACACTGACAAACTCCCATCTGCCCATAAACCATTATATTCATAATTTGTTGACAACAAGGCAGAGAGAAAGATAAGCAGAAGGAAAGAAACACACACAGACACAGACACACACACACACATACATACACATGCACGCGCACACACACGAACA